GTAAACGTGAATAACCTGAAAAAAGATAAAAACTAGCAAAGCTTCAATCACATTCCCATCGTCGTAACCTCGCTTCCAAGCAACTTTCTCTACAAATATTTTCATGGCAATTGCTCTACTGAGCGTTCCTCTTAGTACGTCGTCTTCATGAATTTAAGCGTAGCACTAGATTGGCAGTTAGGTTTCATCATCTTGCTGTTGAAATTGCTAAATGTAACTAAGTTTTATTCTAAAATATTCTCGCACTTCTTGCCAGTGGAACTCTCTTCCGGCTTAATGCTTTCCTGTCAACTAAGATCCTCAAAAATTTAAATGCAACGTCAATCGTCATCTTCAGTCCACTTGAATACTTTTCTTTTGACTGTCGTTTCTCCTCAAACTTTTTCTGAGATTCTTTCATTCGCAGTAACCCCTTGAGCCTCAGTGGCTTCGTCATTTTTTTTATGTGAAATGATTAAAAACGTGGCAAAGAAGGAAACAGCAAGTAACCTACTTAAATATTTTGTGTAAATAAATGGTAGAAAGAAATGAGAAAAAAAATTATAGAAAGTTGTGGAGAGCCATGATCGCTCACGTCCTGAAGAGACGGCACATAGAAGACAAAGAGAAGGAAGAAAAAGAAAAATAAGACGGTAGATGAATTAAACATACAACGTGACAGGCATATATCTAGATACGAATTGTCTGAAAAAAGATAAAAGGGAATAGAGACCCTACAGAAAAGGGTGGGGTGCGTGTGTGTGTGAGAGAGAGAGAGGGAAGGAACTTGCAATTATCATGACTATAAAAGTACAGTGTACGGCACTACAGACAAGTTATAACAAATTACCTCCACCAAGAGGGGAATCATAGGTCAGGTGTAAAACATATGCGCAACTCGGAGATGATATGCGTAATATGTCCAAAGCATTGGAAAGTCTGTTGCTTTCTAAGTGAGACGTGAGATTGGGAGTTGGACTTAAATAGTTGCAACATTTCCAAAAACTAACTCAGACGGAGAAAATGAACAGCAATGCTTATTCCATTTTATCTTTATTGAATTTATCAAAATTTTACGCCAGCTGGAATCATACGGTGTTCCTTTCAGTCTGTCTTAACATTTTTACCTCTTTTTTGCCTTGAATTTCGCCATTTTTAATTTTATTTTGCTATTTATGACGTTTTTTGTACATATTTCGATTTCTTTTTTCAAATATAATTTATATTATATTTTATCCTTGAAAAAAATTTTTAAAAAATTAAACATAAACGGGTGAAAAATGTAGAACGAAGAATTTGAGTTCAGGCGGAGAGTCTGCTATCAAACTTCACACAACAATTATAATGGCATATAAATCAATTTCTCTCTCTTCTGGGCAGGTCCAATTGAAAAATCAGATGTTTTCTGTGATATGCAGAATTGTAAGCGTAGGTGTGTGCGTTATTTAAAAATACGAGAATATTTGCCCTGGGACGCGCATGCGCACACAGCAGTCTTTAATTACATATACGCACGCACACACACATTATATATGTCTTAAATTCTAACATTTTGGTATTCCATATATGTGTGTGTGTATGTAACTTTTACTGTTTCCAGCAAATATAGTAGGATGAGTTTCCTTTTTGTTTTCTAATAAAAAAGCACATATACTTATAGAAAAGAAGAGACACGTCGAGAAAAAAAAAGAGTTGAAAAGAAAACGAAGAGAGATTCAAGGGAGAGAGAAACGAGAAGAGAGATTCAAGGGAGAGAGAAACGAGAAGAGAGATTCAAGGGAGAGAGAAACGAGAAGAGAGATTCAAGGGAGAGAGAAACGAGAAGAGAGATTCAAGGGAGAGAGAAACGAGAAGAGAGATTCAAGGAGAGAGAAACGAGAAGAGAGATTCAAGGGAGAGAGAAACGAGAGAGAGATTCAAGGAGAGAGAAACGAGAAGAGAGATTCAAGGAGAGAGAAAGAAGAGATTCAAGGGAGAGAGAAACGAGAAGAGAGATTCAAGGGAGAGAGAAACGAGAAGAGAGATTCAAGGGAGAGAGAGAAGAGAGATTCAAGGGAGAGAGAAATGAGAAGAGAGATTCAAGGAGAGAGAAACGAGAAGAGAGATTCAAGGAGAGAGAAACGAGAAGAGAGATTCAAGGGAGAGAGAAACGAGAAGAGAGATTCAAGGGAGAGAGAAACGAGAAGAGAGATTCAAGGGAGAGAGAAACGAGAAGAGAGATTCAAGGGAGAGAGAAACGAGAAGAGAGATTCAAGGGAGAGAGAAACGAGAAGAGAGATTCAAGGAGAGAGAAACGAGAGAGATTCAAGAGAGAGAAACGAGAAGAGAGATTCAAGGGAGAGAGAAACGAGAAGAGAGATTCAAGAGAGAGAGAAACGAGAAGAGAGATTCAAGGGAGAGAGAAACGAGAAGAGAGATTCAAGAGAGAGAGAAACGAGAAGAGAGATTCAAGAGAGAGAGAAACGAGAAGAGATTCAAGGAGAGAACGAGAAGAGAGATTCAAGAGAGAGAGAAACGAGAAGAGAGATTCAAGAGAGAGAGAAACGAGAAGAGAGATTCAAGGGAGAGAGAAACGAGAAGAGAGATTCAAGGGAGAGAGAAACGAGAAGAGAGAAACGAGAAGAGAGAAACAAGGAGAGAAAGGAAGAGAGAAACAAGGAGAGAAAGGAAGAGAGAAACAAGGAGAGAAAGGAAGAGAGAAACAAGGAGAGAAAGGAAGAGAGAAACAAGGAGAGAAAGGAAGAGAGAAACAAGGAGAGAAAGGAAGAGAGAAACAAGGAGAGAAAGGAAGAGAGAAACAAGGAGAGAAAGGAAGAGAGAAACAAGGAGAGAGAGAAAGCGAAGAAAATATTGGAAAGAAAGAAAGAGGATGAGAGGTCGGAAAGGAGGCGAACTATTTCGCATTCGAAAACTAAAACATCTAAAACAATTCATAATTTCCTAAAAGACACCACTTTAAAACACTTCCAAGATTATAAATTTGCATCTTTCCCCACTTGTAACAACGGTTACTAAGTGTTCGAGCTCAGGCCAAATCTAAAACATTCGAAAGCACATTTTCATGAAAGACAAGAACACCTCACTGGCAAGCTCTTGTAATTAAAATCGTCCTCTTCCAACTGGCAATATCTCGGACTAAACTAAGATTGTGTTGCGCTAATCTTCGTACCAACAGTTGTCCTAGAAGCGGATTAAACTAAATTTAGTAAATATTTATTGAGGGAGTGTGTACGCAAATTGGAATTAACACGTAAAGACTCATTTGAAGATCCACTACAACGGCGTTTGGTAGTTTGGTCAGATTTTGGAAGAGTATTCGTCCGAGAAGTTTTGTATATGAAAGAGAGATGGTCTTATTTATATGCGCTAGCTTATCTCTTTACATCCACATTAACGAAATTCTTTTCCTGTATTTTTCCTTCCATTGACATTTTTATCGTTTTTCGCCATGTTTTTTTATATATATATATATATATATATATATATATATATATATATATATATATGTGTGTGTGTGTGTGAGAAGCACGCTGTTTTTATGTCTCTAAGAACATAGAATGTTGTTAAAGAAAGTAAAGAGAAAACTCAAGGAATGAAGAGATTTAATAAAAAAAACAAAATGCTCCTGGAACGAAGGCCTAAAAGGGCTACAACTGTTTGAATGAAAAGAGATAACAGGTGTGGTGCAAGTTCGTGGAAAAATGGTCCTCATTTTTACATGACCTGCTTACGTCTGTGAGCGTTTAACATCCACACAGTATCATCAACCAATGCGTAAAACGAAAAGATTCATACACATATTAATATCGTGGCACACATTTTACAATCAGTTTACCTACATAGGAGCTCGGGTGTGTCTTCAAGTATGAATACCTCACCCTCCCTAAATAAGTTATCTTACGCCAATGGTCCCCGAAATGGGCGATATCGGCAGCAGAAGGTCGAATGGTCTAACCAAATGGTTAGATAAATACCTGGGAGTCAAAAGTGGGTTGACAAATAAATCCTGGTGACTTATGAATGAGAGTTAGCAATTTTCATCTAAATTATTTACACTTTTTACATCCGGACTATTGTCCTCATCTTTGTTGTTATCATAACGTCTCGATCGTTCTACCCTCCGGCCTCCATCAGATGAAGATAAAAAAATAAGAACAATAGTTTAAATAAAGTTAACTACACAGCCCATAAATTCAAACAGAAATTCCATCTAAGTATCAATATTCTTGCTGCTCCTCATGAAAACACCACCTTATCATTGATGATGCCAACCAAAATACTAAAAATACATATATTTTATCGTTTATTATTACTATTATTATTGATGATGATGATGATGATTATTATATTAATGATTATCATTTTTATTATTTTGATGATGATGGTTGTTATTAATGATTATTATTATTATTGATGATAATGATTATTATTGATGATGATGATGATGATGATCATTATTATTGGTGATGATGATTATTATACAGGGTGTTTCAAAAAATTTGATATCATTTCGCAATCTAATAACTTTGTTAGATCTCCTTCAAATGACTTCAAATTTTAATAGCATCTTTATGTTTAATGTTTGTTTTATGTTTTTATGTTTTTCTTATTTGTATTTTTATGTTCTTTAATCTTTTTCTTTCCAGGTATAAAAATGCCGTGTCTCAGGCGGTGCGCATATTGAACATTTGTGAAATCGTTCACTTAATCCACATGCTTTTGAATTTCTCATTCAGATTTGGAAGAATAAATCTTATGATCTTCAACATTAATACTTTTTAATTTCATTTGCCTTCATCATGTACTTTCTGTGATATTTACATCTCAAAGGATATCAAATTTTTTGAAACACCCTGTATTATTAATGATTATTATTATTGTTGATGATGATGATGATGATGATGATGATGATTTTCTTCTTCGTGTTCTATTTGTTCACTCATGGAGTCGACTGTATCTCTTTGATTTGGAGCTACCATGAACGTACGATGGATTTATTTGATGGAAAGAGCTCTCCTGGCTTGCGGCTACATCACGCTGAAACACCTGTTCCCGTACGATCACCGAAGTTAAGTAACGTTGAGCCTGGTCAATACCGAAATGGGTGACCGCTTGGGAATAACAGGTGCTGTAAACCTAGAAATGTGGGTGATGTAATGGATTTACTGATCTGTTTTTTTATGGTTTATTATCGACTCTTTGCAGGTTATTTAAAGACAGAAAATATGTTTATATAGTAAGAATATTTTTATAAGGGGAAGAAAATAATAATTTAGTGATACAACTAATTAATTCATAGCTATGGGTAGAAGAAGCAGATTCACACTTTTCTCAAGAGTATTTGTGCGTACGAACCAAACTGGGATTGGTATTCGGCTCTTCGATTTCCAATTTATTCCTTTACATCAGCCGCACTTCCACGGCACTAGGTATTCCCAAGTTGTCATCCATCTAGATATTGGCAAGGCTCGACGTTGGTTAATTTCTGTGTTTCAATGTGAAATGGCTGTAAGCTTTGTATTGGGTGAACCATAGTGAATATATGTTCAGCTATAAGTAAATAGCAGGACAGACTGGGTTCTATAGCCTTGTATTGCAATTGGTCTAAAACTCTGAATTCAAAATCTGCGGAGGGTTGTTTGGGGACCTTGTAGCACATACTACACCAGGTCTCTGTATTCAGAAGAAAAAAAAAGTGTGGTTGGTTCTACACAAAGCCTTCACTACTATGACTATATCATGTGTGCTGGTGTCTGGGATGTCGGTTCCTAAGAACTGACCTGCTTGAACCTCATACGTCGAATACGACGGGAGAGTCTACCATATATAAATATATATATATATATATATATATATATATATATATATATATATATATATATATATATATGGATAATGAAACCAAAGTCCGACAATTATTTTAAGACATTTTGCTGTTTACACATTATATCTATAAAAAAAAAAAAAAAAAAAAATGTATGAACATAAAAATGTCTTAAAATAATTGTCGGACTTTGTCCATTTCATAATGTGTGACGTCATTTGTTTACATTTGGATACGCATCGGGCAGATATGAATGTACGTGAGAAAATCATGGAAAATTGTAGTTTTAAAACAGTAAAATCGACCTTGCTAACCGAAACTCCTCTGTGTCGGAATCGGTAAAAGCACGTCAGGCTATATGACGGTTCCGTATAGTATACAGGTTCGATTCCTGTCGGGGGACGCATATTTTCTATGAGAATTTCTCGGACATTCAGGCCGGTAAATGTTGTTGATACTGTTTATTATAAACATAGCATTTACTTAAATATTTGTATATATAAAAAAGAATATATAAACATAAAAATGTCTTAAAATTATATATATGTATGTCATTAAAAATTGCTTCGTTAGCGATTACTTATATCTCAATACTGACGAGATAACTCAGTATAAATGTCTTGGTTGAGGATTTTAGATTCAAGGAAATTTGTAGATGATATAAATAATACAACGTTTGCTCTCGGGCGGCTAATGAGATATTCCACTAATATAACGTCATACAAAAATGGCCGGGTACCAAATGGTTAAAACGCTAACCTGTTCGCTCTTTTGAAGAAAAAAAATTAACAGAATAAATGTATGTATAATGAAAGTTAACACCAAAACAGCAGAACGGAGACATCAAAAAAAAAAAAAAACTCACACGGGATATAAACGTTCAATTTCAGACGTCCTTGAAAAAAAAAAAAAAGCATAGTGCTTGACGAACAGAAAAAGTAAGCTTTCATCCCATGAAACATGTCGAATTTAATTCAGTGGTGAAAGATTTATTGTCATGGAACCAAGACCCCCTGCTAACGTAACTGTTACACTCTGTAAGCGTTTATAAGTGGGAACAGGTTCCAAAAATATTCTAACGCGTCCATTTGCGAACCTGTGCCAAAGTTTGGAGATGCATCGTTTGGTTTTCACACCGCAACAATTTTTTGTCCAACACCATCCTTCGTCGCATTTTTTTTTTAATCGTGAGAAGTTGTGGAGAGACATGATCGCCATTATCTCAAAGTGACACAATAGTTTTGTACATATGCGTGTTTACAAGTCATTTACTTCTTTTGTTCCATTTTATTTAATTTAAAGTTCAGGGGTTCAAAACCAAGGGGAACTCCCATCTCATCCCAGGGTTTTTGGGCTTTTTTTACTTTTGCTTTTTCCTTTACAGAATTTGGAGCCCATTATGAGTGTAAAATTTTTTCTTCTATAAAAATTATTCATGTAAATGTATATGTACTAATATGAAAAAGAATGAAAATATCTAATAATATACACGTATTATTTGGAATGAACCTTTTGTGTCGATGGGAATGACAAGGGTGCATTGGGCAAGAATGATTGAGAATCACTGTTTTACACCATGTACAAAAGACAGTTATTGAACAACCGTCATTGATATTTTGCTTCTCTGGGCTAATAATGGTGAGGGGTCTTAATTATGCAGACCAGTTACTGTGTACTGTCTCAACACTTGTGACCTACTTAATAAAATAAAACATTTTTTCTCTCTCATATCTTATATATATATATATATATATATATATATATATATATATATATATATAGAGAGAGAGAGAGAGAGAGAGAGAGAGAGATAGATAGATAGATAGATAATGACCTATAGTAAAAATCTCTTGTTTATATCTCAAGCATTGACGAAGGCTATCCCTCTATCTTTCACAATGCACGTTTTGAACAAGCTTGACACGGAGATTAAGGTTCAAATATTGCGCGAGATCAATTCAATATTCCAAATTTCTTTTATTCAGCATTTGTTTGAATATGCACCCAAAAAATAATGATATGAAAAAGTGAAAGCTTTTTCATGCCATGTCTCTTCAGGATGTAGACGATCATGGATCGCTACAAATTTCGTTGATACCTGTAAACAGAAATGACATCGTGGAAAAGATGGTTGAATGGTTTCCCGCTGCTTTCTCTACGACTTTGAGTTCAAAGTTTTCCTTCTCTTAGACCGGTTGCCACACAAGGATAGAGATCCCAGTCTATCTTACTATTTAACCCAAAGCTGATGAAGGAAGAGATGCATTCATGCATTTGAAAAGGGCATTTATGCGAAAACAAACGCAACGGATTAGGTAAGAATTAGAAGTCGGCTTGCCGATTCCGCTTTGCACGACAATTTTATTTTCGCTATTGGTACAGGCAGAAGTTGTGTATATATATATATATAATAGCTGGCCACTAGTATTCGAGGATACCCGTCTATCAGGACGGGTAGCTAATCCCTATTGCATACGCTCACTCAGGCACATTTGTGTTTGTTCAATAACCGCAGAGCCCACCTATGATTTATACGGCAACTATGCCGAGCAGACCTTAGTTACAGTTTCTGGGAAAGAGCGTGTCATCTAGCGTGATCAACAATCTGAACAAGGCCAGAACGCTCAAGCCCTCGATCATGATGTTTTGTGGCTTCGTGCTAGCACAGCTATCGACGGCCTACAAGAGTTCCGGCTACCCAATTTTACTCACAAGGCTTGGGTCAATCCGTGATATAGTTTTCAGACATTTTCCAGCGAGATATCGATTCAGTCGGATAATATCAGGAAGTCTCTTTTCTAACAAATCGATCATGGTGAGATTCGAACCTGGGTCTTTATATATCTGTGTGTGTGTGTGTGTGTGTGTGTGTGTGTGTAGACCTCCAAAGATTCCTTGAAAATGAACACGTATGATTAAAAATGCCCCAAGCTTGATAAAAAAAACAAAGTTTTATCGTTAAACTTTTATGCTATGATTAAGGGGAAGGATTTTTTTTATTATTAACTAGCAGTAGAGCCCGGCGTTGCCCGGGAATGTAACAGTAAGAGATAGATCAAGTATCGACCATCATAAAGACTGGAAAATAAAATTGACAAAGATTATTGTTTAAGGTTGACGGACACGCATGTCTTAATTAGTTTTTTGTTTGTTTGTTTGTTTTTTACGAATTGGTCAAACCCAAACTCAAACAAAAATATTATTTTCAATCGTTATGACTTATGAGTCTATCGATTGAATAGAATTTGATTATAAACAATTGTCTTGTAAATGGAATTTTTAAAGCATTCTGAATGTAAAAATAAAGAAAAAAGTGTGCAAGACAATAAGAAACACTACCTGCGTTTTATAATAAATAAGATTTAAATTTTTTTAATCCTTCTTTAGAATCCTCAAAATTTAGTTTTTCTTGCGTCAGAGGCTGATCATAAATTACTATTGGAAATTTTAACGTCTTTTTGCAGTTAAAAAACACAGATTTGGAAGTTCTTGCAAAAATCATAATTGCCAGATTTTAATAATTGTCGAATTTAAATAAAAAATTTATTAATTTTTTTTCTTTTGTAAAACATGACCTTTCCCCAGTTACAGAATATCTGCTGTAAATCGTACAATAAAATGCAATAAAACTAAGACATTATTTGATTATAAAAGCTTTTAATTGCTTTTATGAATAAGATATATTATGGACACTATTGCCTTGAGAAATTTTTTTCGATAAATAATAAATTTTTACAAGAATTGTTTTCATTTTCTAAACATTTTAATTATGATGATTTATAAAGTTTTAAATCTTAAAATTCTGTATTAGTTTGTACGGTTAAGAACTATTGTTATTAAGTAAAAATTATACTCATCATAAATGGAAAAGCCAACTCCAATTCAACGACCACCAGTATTTTTTTTTTAAAGGTGTGTGTGTGTGTATGTGTGTGTGCGCGCAAACGTGTCAGTTTTTTGTAAATACGGGCATCCATACGACATGAGCAGAAAATAAGAGCGGTAACTTTAGTAAATTTAAAAGTTATTGATAATTTTGTAATATTTCCTTAACAGGCGTCTTCAAAGCCGATATCTAATAAATAAAATATTACATTGAAATATTTTCCTAAATTTTAAAGATTACTGGGTAGTTAAAAATCATAAAAAAGCTTTCACGTTGTATTCGTCAAATACTTTTTACAGCAAGTGCCCCCTTCAAAAAAATTCCCAAATATAAGTCTATCGAGGTAATTGTCAACACCTCTTAAAAACACTCACCTCAATATTAAAAAATGCTTTTCTGCGATATTTTAAACTAAAAGTAGGTAA